CTCCGTTCAAGCCACCATCATTTTCTGACTGAATTACTGCAACAGACTAAGACTAACTGCCCTCCTCCTGCAGGAGCCAGAGGTAACTATTAAAAAATACGATCAGTCTCTCATGTCTTCTAAACTTACTCAGATAAAATATAGTCCTTAAAAACCCCTCCCACCACCTCTCTAATCTCATCTACTGCTCTCCCTTTGCCCACTACCTGATTGCACTGTTTGCTCATTCCTAAATGGGTCATGAGCACCAAGAAAGCAGGAATTTTCCTTTGCTCAGCTCTGCATCCTCAGCATCTAGAGCACCGCTTAGCACATAGGACGTGCTAAATGTTAATAAATACAATATTTGTTGAATGAAATAAAACGGTGACTGGGTAGCCAGGGAAGGCTTCACTAAGGACCTGATGTTTGAGCTGAGACCTAAAAAACAAGAAGCTGTCGATGCAGATTTAGGAGCAGAGAACTTCAGGCAAAAGAAATAGTATCAATTCCTAAAGTGGGAACAAGCTTGACTTATTGGAGGTACAAAAAGAAAGAGTGGTTGGAACATAGTGATGAGAGTAGAACCCTGTAGGTCAGGATATGGAGTTTGTACTGGGGAAAGGGGAGTCATTGGAGAGTTGTAAACAAAAAGAGTACCGTAGACTGATTGTGGATCTGTTTTGAAAGTAGAGCCAGCAGAGTTTACAGATAGTTATACAGGAAGTGAAGGAAAAGAAGGACCCAAGAATTACTCCTACCTACATTTTGAATTAGACAATCGGATGGATGGTGCCATTTGCCGAAATGGCGCGCCGGACCTCGCCCTATTTCTCGGCCCAGCTTTCCCGAGGAGGCAAAGGCCCGGAAGTGGGAGTAAATGAGCACGTACCCGCCGGTCCCGAACGTCAGATCTTCTTTCATTGAACCGTCTCCACCCAGCAATTAACACTGATCACCGTCCTCGAACCTCCAGACCCCACCTCGATTTTACGTAGAAGGAACGCTCAAGACGTCACCTCGCTCCGGAAGTCCTCCAGGCCCTTAGCGAAAGGGCCGCCGGGAAAATCTTTGCGGGCCCCGGGAAAGGGCCTGAAATTAAGGCGGGGACTACAGCGTCCCTTCTAGACCGCCCGCCTCCAGGCGTGACTCGCAGACCTGGGCTTGGGCTGGCTGAAGTGGCGGCGCTATCTGCGTGGCCCCGGAAGGACTTCTAGCGAAAGGCGGGAGAGAGAAGCAGCTGAGAAGCGGCGGAAGCCAGAGGGGGCCAGTAGGGTACGGACCAGACGCTCGCGGCCTGGAGAGCTTCTAGGCGCCGCCAAGCGGGCCGAGCCCACCCGGCCGCCTCTCCTTACGCTTCCGGGAGCCGTCGCGAGCAAGTGCGCCTGCGCGCCGGCCGCTCCGCGCGGCTCGCCGCTGTCCTCGCGCCGGCCGGCATTCCGACGGTTCCTGCTGCTCTTCCCGCCCAGCATCTCGGCTTGGCAGCGCACCGGCGTGCGACATGTCGCGGCGGCGGCACAGTGACGAAAACGACGGTGAGTGCCCTGGGCCCGGCTGCCGAGGCCGCGCCCAGGTGGGTGCCTAGGTCTTCAGGTCTCGAGGGAAGCCCTTCCCACATGGGAACGTTCGGGAAGCCACGGAGGGAAGGGAGGTGGCACAGCGGGAGTGTGGCCGGGCGACTTCTTGGAAAGCTCGTTTCCTCTCGCCCCAGCTCTTTTACTCGTTTCCGATAGGAGGCCTGGGGTGGGGGGGAGAGTCTTTGACCACTTCTCAGGATTTGGTCCTTAGCACCGCCAAGCACCTGTGTCTATGCGGCCGCCTCTTGGGGTCAGTGACATTATCTCGTTTTGACCCTCACATTGCACCTGAAAAGGGATCTCCGCAGATTAGTGAAGGAAAGGAACAAAGCCTGACTGAGAGATCTGATGAATCGCAATGTGAGCTCTGCTCCCCTACCGGTCATCGTTGATTTGCCTTCTTTCAAGCTGCAGTTGCAGGGAAAAAGATCTGTCTCTTATCGACACCCAAGAGATCACTAATAAACAGATGCATGTTGTTATGTTGGATTTTGAGCTGACCGTAATTGTATTTCCCTCGCGCAAGAGGGTGCTGGAAAACAGGAGAGCCCTTAGAGAGTTAGATTAGGGGTTGCCATCTCCATTTGAATGGTTGTGCTCATGGGGATTATGGTGTTGTCATTACAAAAACCGAGAATAATTTTGCTAGTTAGAAGAAGAGGCTTACATAACAAAAATCAGTCAAGAACACATCCACGAAAAAAGAAACTAAGAGTAATTATATTATTATTGTTCTTTGAAAAGAGAGTAGTATAGTGGTTAAGAGGCCAGACTTTGGAAACAGGGTTTAAGTAAGAAACTAGACTTTACCATTTACTTTGCGATCTTGCCAAGTTATATTTTTTAAACCTTAGTCTGTAATATAGAAGCGACATAGAAAGTGTTAATATACCTCATTGGTTTTGTGATGGTTAAATGAAGTTATAAATGTAATGAGTGGCTCATAATGATTATTTTATCAAATATTAATGCTTAAGAGGTGATAGATATTGGTAGATGTCAATGATGTAAGAAAAATACAGAACAAAAATCTTTAATTGGATTATTTTTTTTTTCTGACATTTTTCTGTCCTTGAACGTTGAGGCAGTTAGAGGTAGGTAAAACTAAATCATTTGTATTTAGTTTTAACAATGAAACATCAGATTTCTGCTAGGGCATGGCTTGGAGGATATCCCAGCCTTCTCATCTGATACCTAAGGGTTTAAAGTTTTAATGTAATTAACATGCAGTCACAGCTAGCAGTGCCCAGACACCAGGGAATGCAAGTCTAGAGTTTTCTTTACTACACAGCTATTATTATGCTTGGGTGGCTTTTCGTTGTTGTTGTTGTTTTTGTTTTTTTTATGCAGGAGGGTTCTTGTGTAATGTATATTTGGGGCACAGAAAATACAGTTTTCATATGCTTTTGAATTTGATTAATCAAAAGCTAATATGCTTTAAGTCATCATTTGGTATTTAGAGAACTTGAGCCTTGTAAAGTTCTTCCATTTTCTTTCCCTTTCTCACACTTTCTATTCTCCACTTCTTTTTCTTCCTTCTGAAGTATCCCTAAAGGGAGAGAAAACATTTCCAGAGGGCAGCCTGGAGAATTGGATTTGAATATGTAGAAATACAACTTTTGCTTTGGTTTTCGGGATGCCAGCATAACTTTCTTAAGAGTTAGCTTCTTTTAATACCAGCTGGCAGCTAAATCATTTGGGTCTTGCACAAACCTCAATAAATAAGTAAAGGGAAAAAAAGTAAGGAGTTAATTAATCAAAGTTTACAGTGGTGAATGATTTAGTAATGGATGGGGCAGTTTTTAATTCCTCTTAGGTACTACACCAAATCTGGAACTATTGTGAATTGCCACAATTTGGGTAATGATTAGATAGGGTTTACCCTAAACGATGATCTGAATCAAATATTTTAGATACTTTCCTTTTAGTTACACATCTATTAATTTTTTAAATCAGAAATACTAGAATCTTAAATATTGAAGACTATTTTAAAATAGGCTGAATTATTACAATCATACTTTAATAGCTACATCAGAGCAATTCTGGATTATTGTCATCTCTGCCTGCCACGACTTTCCATATGCTTGACTAGCTATAATCATTTCTTCAACAAATATTCAACAGTGCCAGGCACTGCCCTAACACTTAGCAGTACAGCAGTGGACTATATAAAGATAGAACCTCCCTTTAACAGGAAACAATCAAATAAAATATAGTGTATCATACGGTGGTAAGTGTTATGGAGAAAAATAAAACTGGGTAAAGAGGGTAGAGGCTGCTGTGGGGGAGGAGTTGCTGTTTTATATAGGTTGCTCAGGGAAAGCTTCACTGAAAATGACATTTGCAGGAGGTAAGGGAGCAAACCAGATGGCTATGTGGGGTAAAATAATGGTCTAAACATGGGCCTTAAGTCTAGAGCATTTCTGTCCTATTCACAGAACAGCAAGGAGGCCAGTGTTGCTGGAGCAGAGTGAGTATGGGGGAAAGGTATAGGAGATAAGATCAGAGAGGGAGCAGAGGATCAGCTCATAGAGGGTGATGTTAAAATTAAATCTGTGTTGAGACTGTAGTATCCAGGATCCATGGAGACAGGAGACTATATCAATAAAGTTCACCTAGAAGTCAATTTATAGACAAAGAAAAGGAAATCTTTAGTGTAAATTGATGTGTATGGATGCTGGTCAAGCATTAAATCTACCTTATTTCTTAGAATCTCTAAGAATATGTCTGAAGCTTTTTAGTTATAAGATATGCATAGGATAATAGCTGTTCAAAACATTGTTTTGTTCTTTTAAGAAAGTATTTAGATTGTCCATCATCTTAGCCAAAAACCCACATTAGTTCCATTTAAGCTACTTAGAATTAGATCTTTATCCTTTATATTGTGACTCATTTTTTACTTAACTATAGACAAATAAAATGAATAGAAGTGAAATGATTTGGTAATCGGAGATAGAGTATAGTTTGTTTCAGAAGTTATGTTTACCTCTGCTTTAAGTCTCCAGGATCAAGGTACTTTTCCACTTTACCGTGTTCATTTTGATTACTTTCTCTTTTACCTTGTTTGATTTATGAATCTAAAGCTTCTTATAGCGTACCTAATTCTAAATAAGGATGTAAGATGTAGTACAACATATCTGTATAAAATTAGAATCACTTTAGAGGGGAAAAATTTACTTGATGTATTCACATCCTTTTAGATGAGTTCGATAGAGACTTGCTTCTCTGTTCCATATTAGCCAAGGGTGTCTGAGTAAAGTGGCAATGTAATTTTAAATTACATTGCAAAACTTCTACAGAGTTACATTTTAATACAAAATCTGTTCTTGCTTTGGAGCTGCCATATATATGTTTTCTTGAGGGTACGTGAAAACATTCAGCTAATTCCTCAAATTTTATTCTTAATTAATCTTATTCTACTTCCCCATACACTCACCCAAGTTCTCTTCTGAATTCAATATGCTGTTATTGTCTGTGAGTTCAAATTGTGTCTGTAGTAACTGCCCCCCTTTATATTCTAATATCAGGTGATAGTGGGGCATCTCTTAATACTTTGTGCCTCCTTCCATTCTCCAAACAAAACTTGTCTTAGTCAAAATGGGGGAGAAGAAGGCGGTGTTGTAATTCAGATATAGGACCGTGTACTTGAATTTTCTAGTTTTTCTTCAAAAGTCCTACCTTCCTTCCCCACAGCGTCATTTTCCCCTTACAAGAGGACCTGGGAGGATTTCTTTAAAGACGGGGGATGGAGTGGCTCCATAGTGTAGTGGTTAGCATGTCTGCTTTACACGCAAAAGGGCCTGGGTTCACACCCCAGGTAGAGCCATGGCCCATACCCCGGGGCACCAGGCCCTGGGTGCACACTGAGAGCTTGTGGGAGGAGACACCCCACGTTCAGAGATCCAGTTCTTAGGGGGAAAGGGGCAACATCCATAGGTCAGGGGTAATTACAGAGGTAGGAGAGAAAGACTGGGGAATGATTCCAAACTGATATGAGGACAAGCCAGCTGGATAATTAGGGAGGTTGTGGAGGCGGGTTGTGGAATAAAGGCTGGCAAAGTAGATGGGCCAGAAAAAAGGGAGCAGTGATTAGGCTTTAAAACGACAACAAACTGCTTTCATTTGGCTCGTTTTTCAGCATGTCCATTCTCCCAACTTTACCAGTAAACAACTCAGGTTCTGAAGAACACTGTTAGTATTCTGCTTTCTAGAACAGAGTTTCTCAACATCAGCACTATTGACATTGGGCTGCGTTATTCTTTGTGGTTGGGAGTTGTCCTGTGCAATGTAGTATATTTAGCAGAATCCCTGGCCTATACCTTCTAGATGCCAGTAGCATTACCCAGGTCGTGTCTCCAGAGATTGCCAAGTGGCCCTTTGGGAGAAAAATCTCAACCAGTTGAAAACCACTGCTCTAAGAGAAGGCTATTTTTAATGTCCTTGCTGACAGATTATATAAATATTACATTGAATATGCAGTTTTTTTCAATGAATGAATCCTGGAAATAGAATACCTTTGTGTGAAAGTTGGTTCTTCAGGTAGTGGAACCTTATTAGATCCTGCGACTTAGGTTTCTCTTGTACTTAAGAACCAAGGTCACTGATCCAACTGTGTCATACACGTCCACAACTTTATATGGGTAAGTATCTCCAAGAATATATCTCAGCTGTCACACTGTACACGTTTTTTTTTTTTGTGGCATTATCCCTTCAAAACTATATTCAGCAGTTTTAAACCAGATCATAATTAAGAGATTGGGGAGTCAAAGCACAGAGTGCTTTACCTTGTGGCCTTTTATGATACTTTCATCAGGTTCTACTTGGATAGCAATAGATTGATTTTATTCAGCATAGGTGCAAGTGGTACATGAAGATCATTTCTGTCACTGGAGCAACTTTTAACACCCCAGGCTTAGAATAGCCAAGTGCTGTGAAACAAAATAGTAAGAAATCATTAACAGCAAGTGTATGAGTAATACAGTCCAGTTGTGATTTGTGGCACAATTTCATTCAACTTGACTTCTTTAGCATCATAAAACATCTACTGTTTTCCCATCAATTATTTGGTATGGTGCCGAAGACTGTTCTTTGAGTGTATGTCTGCTGGTTTAATTCCCATTGCTTGGAATAAATATACCGTAGTGCTATGTGATCTACAGAAGTAGAACTATTAGTTGAAGAGTTAAGAGCTCAGACACTTGTAAAGCTAGTGAGGAATCCTAATGTTTTATGCTCCTTTTGCCATCTTTTGAAGTTTTCCTCTTCATACCTGATACAAAAACTTTGTTTTCTAATCAAGTCTTTCCAAAGCATTCACCTTGGTTTTGCACCCATATATTTTCAGCTTACATAATAATTTTCATTATTACAATAATGAGTACTGCTAGCAACTAAGGAACAGTAAACAACTCAAGTTTAAAGAATGTGAGTAGCAGTACATGATGTTACAGAGTGTTCTATCTGCTAGTGGGTAGCACCATTCCTGTCTGTCCACAGAAATGGACAGGGCTGCTTCATTCATATAGTTTTATGAGGCTAACCACTAGCAGATAAAACTCTGTAACATCATGTACTGACTGCTACTCCCATTCTTTAAATTTGAGTTCTCACAAAATTTAACATAAGTAATGCCTCCTGGAGTTACTATCGTGGCCCTGAATATGGAGACTGTTGGTTAATCCAGCCGAGTCTGAGAAGTGGAGGGTCAGTTAAGAGCTTCTACTATGTGTAAAAAGTAGGACTTCTGGTAGAAAAGAGATTATAGCATTAAAAAATAAAATAAATTTATTTTAAATAAAATTTATGACAGGATTTATCATGTAACGTTATTTTTTTACATTGTTGAAACAGGAGGACAGCCTCACAAAAGGAGAAAGACCTCTGATGCAAATGAAACTGAAGATCATTTGGAATCTTTAATATGCAAAGTAGGAGAAAAGGTATGCACCAAAATAGACACAGATTATGATGGGTTTAGAGTTGTAAAGTCGACTGTGCTTTTATGAATTTCATCAACTGAAAACTTGATCTGTTTTAGGCAAAGTTTATATGGCCATGCATCTGTATCCCAAAGGAAATGCATATTAAAACCCTTGGAATACAGATAATTGAGAAATGTTTTTAGTACTTTTTATGGAATATGAGTCTTAAAAGAGATCTTATTGAATAGTTCTCTCAGTTTATAAATGAAGAGCCAAACAAATCGTGGATACTTGAGGAAGTTTGCTCAGAGTCATATAGTAAATGAATTAGAGAATAGAGCCCATTATGTTATGTATAATACTTATTCTGTTTTTGTAGACCGCTTACTTTTTAAATTTCTTCCATTCTCTTTTTATGGGTATCTAAAAAACAATAACTACCTGAATTGATTTATACTAAATCTGTCTTAGTGCCTTATGCATGTAAGGCTTTAACTTTTTTTATGATTACCTAGAAAATTTTAATTCACGAATTGCTGAGTACTTGACACATATTTAATATGCTGTCCTCTACAGAGTGCCTGCTCTTTGGAGAGCAACCTGGAAGGCTTGGCTGGTGTTTTGGAAGCTGATCTTCCTAACTACAAGAGCAAGATCTTAAGACTTCTTTGTACAGTGTATGTATGCAAAAGATTTATGAATCCAGGTGATAATGTATTATCTACTCTTAAATGCTTTGGGAAATGTTCAAAAGATGTGTTTTTGTTTCATATGTAATCAGCTTTCCTTCTATTAGGAAATTTGTACAAATGAAATGACCTTTGGCCCTTTCATTAACTCTTTCTTAGAAATAGACCTAAAATTCAGCATTTTCCATTTGTTTCTTAGAACCTTAGAATCATTCAAATTGACTATTTTTAAGTGAGAAAGTAGACATGTTCACATTTCAGAGATTTTATTTTATGCACATACATTTAAATATATATATAGTAGAATAGAATTTAACTTATATTTTTAACCAGTAGTACCAAAAACATTTGAGAACTGGTCACTCAAGTAATAGCCTTTCTTGGAAGATGGCAGCTGGTCTTCCTAGGTGGCCTCCCAACCAGGCCCGACCCTGCTTAGATCAGCCATTGGGCTTGTTCAGGATGGCATGGCTGTAGACCACGGACGGTGGCTCCACTGGGGTGTGAACCCAGGACCTTCTTCGTGTAAAGCAGACATGCTAACTGCTACACTATGGAACTATGTCCAGGAAGAGGCTTTTGAAGCTATTAATAGACTAATAATCTTTCTGAGTTAGGTTAGCTGGAACAAGTATCAGCATTTAATTTGTTAGGAAATTAAAGTGGGAAAAGTCTCACATGGAATCATGAAACATTCTCTTCCATTAGTGGAATTAGCAATCTAGACTTTTTCATCTCTCAGTCATTGATCACTCTGAATTGAATGCCTGTCAAAGAAGTAGCTATAACTTCTGGATAAAGGGATCTTTGTACTTTACATTAAATTATAAATTTATCTATTAGGTATTTTTAAATTATGAAGGTGACTTTTAAGTTGTCATTTCAATTATTTTAAAATAATGTTTTTTAATGCTTAAGCTCACTTTTGAAATTTAAAAATGTCCATACAAATTGAAACCATTGGTAGATTTCATTTTAACCTCAAAGTACAGAATTTAGGTTATAATTTTTAAAAGGAATTCAGTTAATATTCAGGAAGACATATCCTGAATATGACTAAGAAACTACTAAGAAATATCATTTTGCTGTTATCCATAAGAGGTCTTCTATTTTGGAAGCATTTATTAGAATGGAGTAGATTTATGCTTAAACTCTGATGGAACCATGGTTTGGGGTGGGGGGGAATATTGTCAATGCAAGTATCTTTATAAAACCTATTACTCCTAATACTCTACTAGGTACCTTGAGAAAACAGAAAAAGTATATGAGAGTCTGAATGATCATGAATTTCTATTTGCTTTTCTTTTTGAGCTAATTTCTAAAGGCTGCCTAAATTAGGAAGCAATATTTGCTTTTTTTTAAGGTTTATGACTATAGTCATCTACTTTTCAGATAATTTTAATGAAAATTAACGCACTTGGAGTAAGCAAACTGGAGTGTAAAGAAACCTTGCTACATCAGAGTATCATGTTGAAAATTCAACAATTTAACTGATAGAAACTTAATTGAACTAGTTTTAGTTCTGAAGTTTTTCTAAGCAACCAGAATAGTGTTTCTCAAAGTGGAATCTTGATTTTATGACATTTGGTTAGCTAAGTTTAAAATGCTCCATCTCCCTATTAATGATTCTGCATTAAAGAAATTTCTTTCACCCAGCATTTCCTAGATATTTTACCGTGGAAACAATTTTCTGTAGAACTCCTATCCAGTTCCTCTGAACATATTGGACTAACACTGGTCTCGCATTAGTTTTATTTATTTCAGTTGGATAACTTCACAATAAGAGTGTTTTACTTTTTAACTCTTGGGATAATTAAAAATGAAAAATTATGGGGGCCACGTCTGCAACTCTTCTCAATATTTATGTTGAAGTAGTTTTAAAAACAGCTCAAAGTAATCCTGTTCCAAAGTTAATAAAATGATAAAAGGTTTTTTATATTACAAAATTCAGCAACCTAACATAATGCTATTGTTTTGGGGTTTTCTTGTTGTACTGGGTTCTCAAATCAGTGCGCGTCTGTTACCTGAGAAGTTGACAATTTATACAACATTAGTTGGACTGCTGAATGCCAGGAATTACAACTTTGGTGGAGAATTTGTAGAAGCCATGATTCGTCAACTTAAAGAATCTTTGAAAGCAAACAATTACAATGAAGCTGTATATTTGGTAAGTTATTTTTTTAGGGGAGGTATATTTTGACTAAGTGTTGAGATGGAGGGAAGAGGTGAACTACAACCAAATAATTTATCCTTTCTCTTGACATACAGTTCCCTACTCACCATAACAGCTACTGTTTTGAAACTGTTCTCATTAAAATTAGCACAAAGCTCATTACCAAGTCCACGGGTTTCTGAATCCCACCCAGTGCGCCTCCCTGCAGCACATGACTCTTTACACTTCTTATCTCTTGATTTTTGCATCATCAGTTTTTTCAGGACCTCCCATTGCCCTCTACCTTCTATTCCTCGGTCTCCTTTTACTGGGCCATCTTCCTTTGCCCCTTAAATGTTTCTGTTTCCCAGGATTCTGTCCTCACTTTACTTTTCTTTAAACACTATCCTGGAGCATTTTTGTTCTCATAGTTTCATGAACCACCTTTATTTTGGCCATCTCCTTCTCTCCAAATCTATAATCTGTATCTCCTGCTTTGCCCTTTCTACTGAACTCCAGACCTGTGTTCCAAATACTACCTGGATAGCCCAGAGGTATCTTGCCTGGAAGTCCCTACATTAATGCATTATTCATACCTTCTTTTCTTCTGGCCTCTCCCAACCCACATTCAGTGGCTGCTGTCTACTGGATAACCCATCTAGAAATCTGAGCATTAATTTTTGTCTTCTCTTCGTCCCCTCATACTGTAGGCAGTCCCTAAGCCCTTTCAGTTCTACCTCCTAAATTTCTCTTCAGTCTGTTCCTTCTCCTTTGTCTCCAGGGAACTGTATGTCTTCCTCCCAGTGTCTTAGCCTCTTAACTGATCTTTTCACATCCAGATTCTCTGCCTTTCCCTTTATTTTCTACAGTGGCACCAGAGTGGTTTTCTTATAACTAGGCTCTACTCAAGTTGGTTACAGGTTAAAAACCTCAGTTCCTTCCCATTGTCTACAGTTGATGGTCTTTAAAAGTCTGGTGTCAAAGATGATTCATTGGGTTGTAGAAAGTAAATATTAGAAATCTTTTATTTATCTTAAATGGAACTCAAATTATGCCTTACTAATACTTAATACATAGAATGACAGTGGGCCAGTGTATATTATAAAAATATATACATTTGTTGGAGGTAAGCGATCAAATATTTTTACTGAGTACACAGTCAAAGTTTGGACACTCATCATCAGGCTATAAGAGTAAGTCCAGAATCCTTAGTCTGACACTCCTGGTTGCCTGCCACCTTCTATTTCTCTATCCTTGCCTGCCATATATCAAAATTACTTACACATCTCTGAATATACCTTGTGTTTAAACCCCTCTACCTAGACTACTCCCCTTGTTCTCCACTTGAGGAGTACGTTACACATCCTTTATAATGTAGCCCAGTTGTCTTCCATGATACTTTCCCTTACTCCCTTTGTCACTGTTCCTACAGCAGTTTTTATTTACTTTTTAGTATAGAAGTCATCCTTTTGGATTGAGAGTGCCCCACTAGACTCTGAGTTCCCATATAGCAAGAACTTTAATAGTTCTTAGCAGTGGCACACAGAAGATAGCCGATAAATATCTGTTGAGAACTTTTCATTTCTATAGTCCAGTGAAAATTTGTTCACAGCCAAAGAGGAAAAATGTTTGAAGTAGCTAGAACATTATAGTCTGGGTTCTTCTAAGAGTATGTAATGAAAACCTGTAAATGTACAGATTCCTTTCCTTCATAGGGTCTCTGTCACAACTCCTCAGCTCTGCAGTTGTAGCACAAAAGTGGCCATAGACAGTATGTAAACAAATGAGCATGGCTAAAAATTTACTTGTGGGCACTTAAATTGAATTTCATATAATTTGTACGAATCATGAAATATTCTTTTAGGTTTTTTCCAAGCATTTAAATATCTAAGAATTATTCTTAGTTTTCAGGCTGTGCAAAAACCAAGCAGCAGGCCAGATTTGGCCCTCAGGCTTTAGTTTTTCAGATTTGTGGTTTTAACCATTACAAGATTGCTTGTTTTGTAATTATTATAAGGGATATTTGATTTAATAAAAATTGTTTTCCCCAACAGGTTCGTTTTTTATCTGATCTTGTGAATTGTCACGTCATTGCAGCCCCATCAATGGTTGCTATGTTTGAAAATTTTGTAAGTGTAACTCAGGAAGAAGATGTACCTCAGGTAAGAAAACCCTTATACTGAATCATGTCCATATAGTACCAGAAATTTTTCACTTAGTAATAAAAAACAAAAGGTAACAGATTATCATGCTGTAAATTCTTAATATCTAAAAGTTAAGTCAGCTGGCATACTGGTGAGTTCTTGTGACATCTATATGTTAATTTAAATTACTCTGTCTAATAAGATTAAAACTAAAATATCTAGAAATGCTCTGAATGAGCCAGATGTCTTATATAAGCCCTGTTAAATAGCTTCCATAGATTTATTTCATTTAAGAATAAATGCAATATGAATAAATTTAACTAACACTTTAAACTTACCTTTTAAAAAATCCTTTAGGTGCGACGGGATTGGTATGTGTATGCATTTCTATCATCTTTGCCCTGGGTTGGAAAGGAGTTGTACGAGAAGAAAGACGCAGAAATGGACCGTATCTTTGCCAACACTGAAAGCTATCTTAAGTAAGGGGAGAGCTCATAGTTCTTTTTGTTGTTTAGGTAAAAGATATCTTAGTGATATCATAAATGTGTTATATTTTATCTGTTAGTAATACTATTTGAGTTGCGTTTCTCAAAAATAAGCTGTAGAGTTCCCTAAGGCTTTCTCTAGGTAATTTCATACCCCTACTGTTGTAACTTACTGAGACCCCAGAGTAATCAAATATATTGCTTACTCCTTTCGTGTAAAAGAGTTGTAACATAGCTGCTTTTAAGCCGCTTATTATCCATGTGTGAAAGGCATAAAATATCTTAACACAGTGGTTCTCAGATATTAATATACGTAAGAATCATCTGTAGCACTTAAATATGCTCCAACCCCTGCCCCCAGACCTGCTGAATCACAGTATTTGAGAGAGGTTTGGACATCTCTATTATTAATTTATTCCACAATTGGAGAACATCTCTTTATTTCATATAAGTTAATCCTAAACCAAGTCCTTAAAACAGTGGTCCTTAACCTTTAATACTAACAATAGGCCTTATTAGTAAACTTAAGCATAATTACCCAGCAGCTAGATAATGGTTTTGTGTCCCCTTAAGTTTTTTGGAATAATTTTATTATGTTTCATTTTCTATCCATAGATACTTCTTGGGATAGTGTTAATATCTATTTGGTAAATTACAAATAAAGCTAAAAGAGGTCTAAAAATAGAAATCTTTTTAGTTCGTTAAACTACTTTTAAATGTTAGATTTTTAAAATGTTTTTATATTTCTGAAAAGTTATACTTCTTTCTTAACAAAGAATAAAAATAAAAAGAATACGAATATCTTATTATTTGAATACTGGTACACGTCTTTCTCCTTTTTTATACATATGGTAGTCCAGTATATACACTGTTCACTTGCTTTTTCCTCCCTTAATATAACTTAAGATTTGTTGCATAAAAACATACAGCTCTACCTTATTCATGTTAACAGTTGTATGGTATTCCACTCTTTTAACATGCCATGATTTCTTTAGTTTCCTGTTGGTAGACATTTAGGTTATTTCCAGTCTTTTGCTATTATAAACAGTGTTTCGATGAATATCCTTATACAAATGTCTTTGTGTACGTACATGTGTAAATATATTTGTGGGGGATATGAATTCTTAGAAATGGCATTTCTGTGTTGAAGTGTCTTAACAATTTTAATTTTGATTTAGTCATTGTTTTCCAAAGCAATTATACTATTCCAGATCTTCTAAAGAGATGATATCAGTGTTTGAAACTGCATATTCTCCCAGATTTCAATAATATAGTACGTTATCAAAAATGTTACACCTACCAGTATGATAGTTATTTCACTGCTTTAATTTGCATTTTATTAAGAAAGCAACTGAACATCTTTTTATGTTTTTAAAAACCTAAATGTAGATTTTCATTTTTATCTTTAGAAGACGCCAGAAGACTCATATGCCCATGTTACAAGTATGGACTGCTGAGAAACCACATCCACAAGAGGAGGTAAATTGATTACAGTCTTTTATGATACAAGCACAGTCAGCTCTTGAGTAGATTCTTATCTTTGTGATGTACTTAAATCATTCAATTTGTATACCTCAGCTAGGTTTCCACAGTTCATATCAGGGATCCACCTCTTCACAGCCCTAGGCAGATAGTGGAGCTTTAATAAATGTTAGAATGTAATTAAAACATTCCTTGTTCTAGAGGATTCTAGATGTCATACAGTTGACAATTTTTTTTTTTTTTTATCGAAATGCCCAATTGGAAAAATGTAAAAAGTAACAGCCTCAGACAGATAGATTTTATAAATTAAAACAAAGATTTAGTACCATTCTCTTGTAGTATATTTGATAGCAAGTTAGCTTACTTTTGTACTCTGTATTTTAGAAGTAGTGATTTTTGATTTTGTCTGCTCAATATGGTATTTCTTCTAGCCTCCAAATATATATTAATTATTAAAAATTAATGTCTTTAGTATTTAGATTGCCTGTGGGCCCAGATTCAGAAATTGAAAAAGGATCACTGGCAGGAGCGGCACATCCTAAGACCTTATCTTGCCTTTGACAGCATCCTATGTGAAGCACTGCAGCACAATTTGCCTCCTTTTACACCACCTCCTCACACTGAGGATTCAGTATACCCAATGCCAAGGGTCATCTTCAGAATGTTTGATTACACAGATGATCCCGAGGTATGTGACCAACTAAAAGTTCCTGTCAAAGGGCCTGCGTTGCATTGTACTTGTGATTTGATCTTGTTTGGATTTGCCTGCGATACATTTTAAATTTGAATTGTTTATTATCTAAGATGATCAATAGTAATGAAGTTAACGATTTAATTCAGTGAAGGTAATGGTTTAAACAGGATCACCTCATTATGCAAGAAACTATATTTAGCATGTGTATGTAGAGTAAGAGAGCACATTGTACAATGTAAGAGAGTAGGTTTCAAGAGCCAGATTGGTTTGGTTTTTAATCCTGGTTTAGTCAGATCCTAGCTGTGTGGTCTTGGGTTATTTACCTCTCTACCTGAGATTCCTAATAGGATAATAATAGTATCTCATAAAGTTGTAATGAGGATTAAGTTATTAATACACGTAAGTGTATAAAACTGTGCAATACATGATGAATGCTCAATAATTTTAGCTATTATTCTTAAGGCTATTTTTCAAGAAAAATACCCAGTTTTAGAGATTGTTCATTTCTAACCTTTACAACTTATTGTTGATATTATGTAATTATTTTTTAAAATATTTTCAACTTACAAACTCCAAAGATGAGTATGAGCTGATTTTATAGTTTTTAAATATATGTATTCTTTATTTTGAAGTCAAGTTATTGGTAACCATTATACTTCAGCAATTAAAATATATAATTTTGATATTAATATTTAGCATAAAAATTTGCATTTTAGCTATGCTTATTATTTTATACTTTTACATGTGAATGTCTGTCTTAACTTTAATAGCCAAGTAGCAAGCACAGTCATTTCTAGATTCATTCTGAATAGAAACTTGCCTAGCTGAAGTACCATACTTGTTGCTTAGTACATCCCAGTCAGCATAAAGCAGAATTGTCACAGTCAGCACAATTGATGTTTTGGGCTGGATAATTCTTTGTGGTGGAGTGCTGTCCTGTGAATTGTAGGATGCTTAGAAGCATCCCTGGCCTCTACCCTCCAGATGCCAGTAGGATTTAGAGGCTAAATATCAGTTGTGACCACCAAAACTGTCTCCAGAGATTGCCAGATATCCCCTCTCAGGGGCAAAAGTTCCCCCATTTGAGAACCACTGGCATAAGAACCAATATTACCATCCAAGGTCAAATTTGAGTTTTCTTTTTCTTCTCTTTTCTGTTCTACCATAAATTGCTTATGACCAGTGGAAATTTAACAATTGTGATCTATCTCAGAGTAAAAAGTTGTCAGATAATTGGTTATACATAAGAAATTATCAACTTGCTACCTACTTACCTATATTCCATATATAATAAAATGCTTTTTAGTCAGTGGTCTAATTAGGTGTATCTAATTGAGAGTCTAATTTATGTTTGAGACTAGAATCTTTGTGATTGGGTTTCTGTGCAAGGGAACTAGGATGAGACCTCAAAGTTTGTTTTATCTTGTACTATTTATACTTAATTGGTGTCGCCTCTATAATATGCCCATCATTCTTGCCAGAAGAGCATAAAATACAAAATATCTGTTCCCCTCAAATTGAAGGGGATTGTTTTTTTTTGTTCTGGCTTTAGAAAAAATATTTATTTAAAATAAAAATTGAAGATTAAAGTAAAAGTTATCAGCAGTCTACAATAGTAATTAAGTTATTAAAAACAAACTGAACCTGTTTGCTATGCACATACTTTTTTAAAGAATTAAATAATGTGTAGATAATGTTTTTTTTAATCTTTTAAAAACAATATAGTATGGATATCTTTCAATGCATATACAATTTTTTATGTCTGTATATAGTGTTTGAAATAAAATTTTCATTCTATGTGTATTACAGAAGTAATTCACTCTTATTTAAAAAAATAAACCGTGTAGGGCTAATAATATACAAAAATTATTTTGTTTCATATAATTGAGGTGGGCAATTGATAGTATGGTGTCAGATGTGTAGAAGAGACTGCAGCTGACACTAATTCTGTCGTGGAAATAAGTTAACATGACAGTAAAGTTTGCTAAAAATATAGAGCTTTCACACTTCTGAACTTTTATACCTAGCACCCAATATAGTGTCTGAAACATAATAAGCTCTCAAATATTTGTTGAATAAATGAAAGAAAATATTTTTTCTAAGTCTGTAGTATTTACATTTGGTTTTCTTTCCAGGGTCCTGTAATGCCAGGGAGTCATTCAGTGGAAAGATTTGTAATAGAAGAGAATCTTCACTGCATCATTAAGTCCCACTGGAAGGAAAGGAAGACTTGGTAAGATTCTTTTTATGTTACTTTTAGAGTGGAGAAAAGTTAGCAATTTTGATAATTTGATAAGAGCAAAATATATATTAAGAGTTTAAGAAAATCACTCTTCCTGACATCCCGACTTGCTAAGACCATTCTTCTTTGCTTTCTTGAGACCCCTCACCCTCAGAATAGTACTTTTCTGAGTGCTCTGTAGTACTGTAGTGCTGTCTAGTAATGTGCATGCAATGCTGGCTTTTTTATGTGGATGTTTGCAATATGCTATGGACAGATTAACTTGAATGGAAAGCTCTTTTTAGTGTGATTATTAACAGTTTTGTTCTGTTATGTATTTAGACATCTAGCTCTGGAAAAGTTTACTTTTAATATTTTCTTAAACCTTGGAAAGTTTTGGTTTAGAGTTTAGGGTGGAAAGTCTTTGGAGAGTGGTCTACCCTATTAAAACTTTTTAAGTTAGTAGATCTTAATATGCGTCCTTAGTATTATTACTTAAACTCTTTTTTATCTTTCAAGGAGTTTTGGGGCCCATTAAAGAATTCCCTTGTGGTAGACAAAATAATTTGTGCTGTAGTGAAGTGACCGAAATCTAGAACATTCTAGAAAAGTGTCTTTATATCTAAACACACTGCTTTTGAAACTGCTTATTTGATTGTTCATGTATCTTTGTATACTTAACTTAAGTTACATTTTTTATAGTGCTGCACAGCTGGTCAGTTATCCAGGGAAGAACAAGATCCCCTTGAACTACCACATAGTTGAGGTATGCATTCCACATGGACCATGTTTCTAAGTTTCAGAATCTGTTGACTTAAAGAATAATCTACTCTTGGCTTATTTTTTTTTTCTTGCTACTTGTCAGGTACTGAAAGTTAACAGAGGAGCGAGGAATTTGCTGTCTCTTTTGGTGCTCTGTTAGCCATGTTAGTAAAGAGAAAAGAGGAGGTTGAAACCAGTAGCCAAATGGACTTTTGAGTTGCCTATAAATTATTTATGTAGTATGTCTTCATTCATGGATAGTTATCATGGATAATGTAAGTTACCTCTAGGTGTGTCAGTACATTGTCCAATTAATTAAAAGATGTATAAGTGGCTTAAATACTTTAAAGTATTGTATTACTTTAGGCAGATAACCTATTTTTAACTGTTTCTCTGGCTTCCTATTACTAGCAGACACCTGACTAGTATATTATTCCCTGTATCACAAGGTAGGGTTAAATATGAATCTTTATTATTAAAAATGAAAAAAGCCAATTGTTTTTGGAAGTAGGAAGAATAGATAGTACTTTTGACCCTATATTAAGTAATACAGAAGGATGATATAAGTAGCATATTTGAACACCTTGTGAGGTTTATGTCCCAATAACCAGTACTTTCACTTGACACATAGGTCAAACTGTCAATTGCATATTCCTTTATTTTAAAATACTCGTGAGCATAGTTATGTTTTATTTAAGATTCACTTTATAGTGCATTTGTGTGCTTTCTTAAAAGTACTGCTTCTGTCTTATTTTTCAACTCTTAAGAGTAAGCTTAGGCTCTAAATTTGACTCACTGACATGTCAGTTGAAATGAGGGCTATAAGTCATACCTTTAAATATGCAAAATGTGTAGAAAGTTATGATGAAGTACAAAAGTGTTTGAGGTGGGAGTCAAAGGAAGGAATGCACATCAGCCTTTAGAATTCTAGGTAGGCAGTCCACAAATAATATAGGGAAGGTGGAAGCAAGTTTCCTAACAAGAGGCATGGCAAAGAAGTCTTGGATTATCAAAAAGGTTTCTAGGTACCAGTTTTAAGTAGCAGAGTGGAATGACTTTTTTTAATCCTAGTTTAATAAGAGATTTTTACTGCTTATGAGAATGAAACTGATGGGTCTGTGAGTCCCTCGGTAAATCAACTCCTATACTTCCAAAGTTAGAAATTAATTGTATGGTTCTCTAGGAGTATCAAATTAGCATTAATATTTGCATATTCTTATTTGATTGAGTTATAGAGAGGAGAAATTTTCATTATAGTATTATAGATCTTCGTGTTTTAAAGAGCATAATTCTAAAGGTTAAAAAGTAATTCTTTCATTATAAATGTCATGGAGTTTTATATTGAGAGTGTATGGTCTTTTAATAGTAGAAGTGCATAGATAGCTGTCGAATTGAGTTCTGACTCCTGATTCTTTTGTAGGTGATCTTTGCAGAGCTGTTTCAACTTCCAGCACCCCCTCACATTGATGTGATGTATACGACACTTCTCATTGAACTTTGCAAACTTCAGCCTGGCTCTCTACCCCAAGTTGTATCCTTTCCTTTGTTTTTAAACTTACTCTGTTTGGCCTAGTTTTAAAAAGTTAGTCAATATTTCTGCTAGTGGGTTTAAATCACTTCATAAAAACAGTTCGACATTTCTTTAAAAGTCAACCATATGTGTACCATACAGTCCAGCCATTCCACTCGTAAGTATTTACCAAGAGAAATGAAAACACAAGTCCCTTCAAAGACTTAGGCATTAATGTTCATAGAAACTTTATTTGTAATAGCCCCAAACTGGAAACAATCCAAATATCCATCAGTATATGAATGGATTAACAAATTGTGTTATACTTATACAATGAAATACTACATAATAAAAAGGAATAAGTTTTTGATGCTGGCAACAACATGAATGAATTACAAAGTAATTATGCTGACTAAAAGATGCCAAACAAATAATTCATACTATATGATTACATTTACACAAAATTCTAGAAAATGCAAAGTAATCCAGTGACAGCCGACCAATATTTTGCTTGGGGATTTAGGTGAGGAGGGGGAGAAGGAAAAATTGACTACAAAGGAGCATGAAGAAATGTTGGAGGTGATATAAATGTTCATTATCTTGATTTCACAGGTGTATACACACCAAATTTTTGTATGTCACTCATACCTCAAAGCTGTTTTTTTAAAAAGGTGTGAATTACATGAAAAGATGTTCAACATTATTTTTCATTTGTTATTTATTTTTTCTATCACCATTTATTTTGAAGGAGAGTGGAGAATATTTTCCTTATCAAATTCACAGCTTGCACAGGCAACTGAAATGCTATATATGCGTTTGGACACAATGAATACTACCTGCGTAGACAGGTATACTAATTGCCTCATTTCTGTACTGGTTGTTAGCAGCTTCTAACCAACATTATTTTTCATTTGTTATTTATTTTTTCTATCACCATTTATTTTGAAGGAGAGTGGAGAATATTTTCCTTATCAAATTCACAGCTTGCACAGGCAACTGAAATGCTATATATGCGTTTGGACACAATGAATACTACCTGCGTAGACAGGTATACTAATTGCCTCATTTCTGTACTGGTTGTTAGCAGCTTCTACTCCCTGTACTTTGTAGAATAATTTGATCAGCAAAACATTTGCCTTGTTAAGAACTTTCAAGTTGATTTTTCTTTCTTGCCTCCCCAAAATAATCCTTCGTATAAAAATAAAACTCATACTTGTTGTAATGTAACATTATACTTTCTAGTCTAACTTTCAGTATGATAATGATGCCCGTGCTGAGGTTTTCTTTAATTCCATTCATTGTTTACTTGTTTGGTGCTTTGGTATAGTTATACTTTTCCCTCTGTAATTGGCTATGTAAGCTTTTAAAATAAGCTTTATGCTAACCTCTGTGTAGAAGCAGAGTCTAATACTTATTATGTATAAAAATATGTATGTACTTCTGTTTATAGTGTCAACGTCTAAAGTAATTAGCTTCTACATAACTACAGCTTCAAGACTGTTTAAATAAAAGACCATATTGGATTTTTATAGCTGTGGTAATTGCATGCCCACTGCCTGCTTTTGGATGAGGTCTATATACCACCTTTCTTAGCTGGTATTCCTTCTTACCTCTGTCAGTTTCCCAAATCAGATCAACAGATATTGAATATTTCTCCATTTTCCAGGATCTTTCATGTCTATAGTTCAAATTCTATATCTGAAAATTATTGGTAAGGGCTGTTTTATGTTATTGACCTATTTTGACTAATTTCAATGATCAAAATTGTAGATACATAAGGGACATGCTTTAAAAACGTTGTCTTCTAATTTTTTTCCCTAGACTAATAAAACTACCAGTTATGTTGGGCATCTCAGTTATGCCATTTGTTTAACAAATATTTATTAGGCTCTTACCAACTTCACAGCATTCTACAGTATACTAATGTGATCTCTATCTAGTTAGATCAGATGTAATTTTAGGGGAAAGAAGGCTGCGATGGTATATTTTGTTTGGTGAAAAGGGCACAGTGTGATAATGAGAGACTAACTTCATTCAGCTCTGTCATTTATAAAATGTTTTATCTGCAGTTTCATTTTTTCTTTTTTAATTTTTTGCCTTTGTTTCATTGTCGGTTAAATAGAGAAAATAATGCATTCCTTAGATGTTATTGTGAGAATTAAATTATGTAAACATATATAAGGTGCCTGGCATAAAACAGGCATTCAGATTATATCTATTATTTACTTAAAAAGGATAACACTTTTAGAATAAGTTAAGTAGGAGATTTATTTTTTGAAGTAGAAGATGAGTTACAGGACTTACAGAAAAATGGGTAAGAAAAGTGGCAGAAGATACAGCTGTAGATAGGAGTATATGCTCTTTCACTTCACTATAAAATAGGGTTGTATTTATCTGAAGGATTACAAAGGAACCTGGTATAAACTGCAACCATTCGTCTTTTTCTGTCTCCTGCCTCCACTTCTCTGTATAGGTTTATTAATTGGTTTTCCCATCATCTAAGTAACTTCCAATTCCGTTGGAGCTGGGAAGATTGGTAAGTGGTGTTACATTTTATCTTTCCTTTCTCTGCAGTCTACTGTAATAAATAAAGTAAGTAAATCCTGTTAATATTCAAAACTATAACATAAAAGCAGTCTGCATGTTCTGAATTACTTAGTTTTTTGTGTGTGATTTATACATACAAATGAAATAATTTAGGTAGAAGGAAACTTTGTAGCTAAGTACAAGTTAGAATAAGTACAGATTCTGTTTAAGAACTTATAAAACTACATTTCCTCATTAGGTCAGATTGTCTTACTCAAGATCCTGAAAGTCCTAAACCAAAGTTTGTAAGAGAAGTTCTAGAAAAATGTATGAGGTAAGTAAATTCTTTGTATTTTCTCCTTAGCTTAGGTCCTTAATTTGTGTGGGAGGAGTTTTCTCTTCTCAGCATTTGTGATATATGTCCAGAATATCATTTTTAAAATCCAGATACCTGCCTCTCTTCCTTGTTACTTTTTAATCAAGATTTGGGCTGAAAAAATTAGACAACCATGACATTTGGATTCTGTGTGAATTCAGCCAAAAAGTTTTGTTTTTTGTTTTGTATTGTTTTGTTTTGTTTTTTGGTCAAATGTACTTTGAAATAATTTCAAAGATGGTACAGCATACTACCACACACAGTCCACACATACTGCTGAAATGTAACCAGCCATCCCAACAATGTCTTTTTTTCTTTTTGGCCCAAATCCTATCCAGGAACACATGTAGCTTTTAGTTATCATTCTCTTCAATTCTTCAGTCTCGAACAGTTATTATTCTTTCTCTACTTTCCATGTCTTTTTCAGTTTTAAAGAATCTAGGCCTCTCTCGGGTTGCCCTGCTATGGCCTCATGACCAGACTCAAGTCTTGCATTGTTGGTGCATAACATCGAGAGGCACCTGAATCCTACTACTGGAGATGTCAGCCTTGATTACCTGGTCATGTCAGTGTCTGTCAGGTCTCTCCACCTTCAATTTACCATTTTTCCCCTTGTAATTGACTATTTTGTGGGAGACATTCTAAGGTGCATTCATATACTATTCTTCATCCAAGCACCACTGATAAATCCTACTTTTATCTGCCACCACTCTGATGATTACCAACTAGTGTTTCTCTTTTTCCATTATTCTTTTCTACATTCGTTAGTTGGCATTCTACTGTAAGAGCTTTCTTTTTTTCACCCATTTATTCCTGTGTTTATGTATTAGTAGGGACTAATAGGTTTCTGTTTCATTCAGTGGGTTGTAGTCCATTAACTGCCATTATTTATTTCGATGCCCAAATTGTCTCTGATTTGTCCATTGGGAGCACATAGTGGCTGCCGTGTCCTTTTTTCTTTTTAATGTTTCCTCCATTCATTGAGCTTTTCCTTATTTCTGGCACAAGGTGTTCCAGGCTCATCTTGTATTTTCTTGCCCCTCCTCTGGAATCATCTCTTTATTCAAGGAGCCCAAGTTTCTAGTAGTGGAGTATGGGTATTTAGGGATCAAGATCTGGACACTTGATAAGCTTATTGCTAGTAGAGTGTCATTAGTTCTAAGCCCTCTGGATGGACAAAGGTGGTGAATATATGCACACACATACAGATCTATAAATATTTTTATATTCACCTATCCCAATAATTCCAACCCTGAATCTCATTTTTTCTAGCCTTCCCCTTTGCCATGGTTCCCAGATACCTTTTCAAGAATGAGACTCCCATTAGCCTCAGTGTATTTTTATTTGCTACAGTGTAACCAATTCTCCCAAACACAGAGACTGTCTCCTCCACCCACCGTCACCATCCCACATATTTGGCCACCAGGCTGGTGGACCCAGTGGCCCACACCTCAGTGCAAACTAGTAGATTTTGAAAAAGGTCTGAGTTTTACTTTGTTGGCATAGACAGAGCTTAAAGGACTAGTTTTCTTCTTTATTTCTTGGTTGTCAGCTGAGTGTAGGATGTTGGAGATTGTGACTTTCTGGGTAAGTTAGATGTTACTGATGAATGGAACTGATGAACGGTATTTTCTGAGGCTCTTATTTGTCTTGTAGGTTGTCTTATCATCAGCGTATATTAGATATTGTTCCTCCTACCTTCTCAGCTCTATGTCCTGCAAACCCAACCTGCATTTACAAGTATGGAGACGAAAGTAGCAGTAAGTGATAAAATCCTTTTGTCTTCAAAAACTATCAATGCAAATATTCTCTGATGTCAATTATTTAAGGTGGAGAAAGTGAACTTTTTCTTTTCTTGGGCTTATATTTTCTCTATTTGAAAGGTCATCTGTTATTAGCCACTATTTTATTTACCCTGTCATTTTGAAGATTCACTGTGATCTACTTAGTTATTACTGGCTTGTGATTTTTTTTCTTTCAATGTTGTTATTGTAAGTATGACATTATTGTAAATATGCTACTAAGCATAACAAGATGAATTTATAGCTAGAACTTACTAAAATGGGAATGTGTATTTGTCATAGTAATGGAAATTACTTGAATTGATTATCACCTGATATCATTTCAGGCATGGGAACATAGGTGCACATAGACTATATTTTGACCAGCATTATGCCTTAGAAGTAAATTTTTAAACATGGATTTCTTACTCTTTGGTCGCATCATTTCTGAGATTGCAGTATAGATCAGAGGGACTACAATTTGATATGTCATTTTGTGCTTTACACTTAATGAAGGTAAAGTATACCTTGGTGATCACTGGTAGAAAGTTGGGTGGGGAGTTTTTCCAAGTTAGTCTTTTCAGATAGCTGTAAACATGGCTCCTCCCTGAGCCTTCCATTTCCTGTTGTGTAGGTTCTTTGTATTTTGAAACTTACTCTTCTCCCTTGCCTTCTCATATTGCACTCCTGATTCTCCACCTATATCTCGGACTAGACCTGTTTTCCTTGAAGTTAAGTCAGATGGTCCCAGTCCTAAGTACATTTCCTGTTATTATATCACTTAATCCTTAAAACAACTCAGAAATAGGTATTTTATACCAATTTTACAATGAGGAAATGGCTTCAAAGAGGTGAAGCCCTAGTGAGATTGCTTCTGAGTGTAGAGCCCAGATTCAGACCCAGGCTTACTCGCTGAGCAGCCACTCTCTTAACTACTGTGCTTTCCTTAAACTGCAAAACTTAATGAGGACTTAGAGGTGCCAGGGTTTGAGTTCTGCCCTGTACTGGCTCAGAACTATAAGATACAGTCTTTGCTGTCAGAGAGCTCAGACTTCCGTTGAACGTTGAGCTTGCTTTTTTCCCCATAGAAACAACCCAGCCTAACATTTAAAAGCAGTTGTTCCTGCTTTGTTATTTGTCGTTTCTTCCCCCGTTGTCCTCTATTATAGTAGGCCCACTTCCTTTTTCTTTTGGCCATCCTCTTGGTTCTTGGTTTTGCCTTAGTTTTCTCCAGGCTTGGAAAGCCCATTCTATATCTGGTCCCTGTCCTCTCAAGGGTCTGGCCCAAAAGATGCAGTTCTCAAAGACTCCGGTAACATTTCTCAGCCTTGGCAAGCCAGTTTTCTATTGCTCTCTGGCTGCTTTCTATGTGAATCTTGGTTCCTCAGCTAGAATGTAGACAGATTCCTCAGTGGCAGGGGTTCTTTTTTTGTCACTTATTTTCTCTCCCACTTTCAAGGAAAAAGCACCTAGTACGTGTGACCTGTTGTAATTGACTATTAATTCCAAGTGCTTAGTAACTCATATTCTGTCTGGATAGTCTTTGTTACCTGTTTGTCTACCTTACATTAAAAGTAGATTTCTGATTGCTCTGGTAATGCCCTATAGTATATACTAACACAAATTTTACACAAGAAGGGCTTGACAGATAGTAACCAATAATAAATATGTGGAGTCACAGTACTTGAGCATCTGGCTTATGTAGATTCAAGTGTATGGACTCAGAAAAGGAAAAAAGCAAAACTATCTTATGTCAATAGCCTTCACCTTATTCAACTTAGTTTTTACTCCCTCAGAAAAAGAGGAGGGGAGGTGGAAGGGAAATTGGCAAAAATGAAAGAGAAATATACTGTCGGCTTTTCAGCTTATAGATGCCTAAGGATTTGAGAACTGTCAAAGGACAGTTGTAACTATATCCACATTTCCCTGCACCCCCCACCTCCGAGGAAGAGCAACACAACACCCCTTGTACTTTGAATTTCAATTAGCTAAGTGTCTTAAGGAAATATTGAAGAGAGAATTATCTCATGCCTTATTTTAGGTGAAAAGCCATTGACCTATTAAACTTTCACATGTGGTTATCCTTATACAGATTAAATAGTGATCTTGGGATAAAGAATATTATATTTTGAAAGAAAAGAACCTTTTTTTTAAGTTTCTCAGTTATTAAACTATTTGTAAGAATAGTCTTAAAACCTGATCTACCCTCTCCCATTCTGTGGTTAGATTCTCTTCCTGGACATTCGGTTGCCCTCTGCTTAGCTGTTGCCTTTAAAAGTAAAGCAACCAATGATGAAATCTTCAGCATTCTGAAAGACGTACCAAATCCTAACCAGGATGATGACGATGGTAAGGGAATGAAATATTTCTTGAGTGGGACTATGTATAAGCCAAGTTAAAGCATAAATGTATTGGATGCTCATAAAGCAATGTATTCATTTGGCCTGTTCAGCCTGTAAGTTCCTAGAACCCAGGTATTTTCTCCCTTACGTAAAAAGAGATCCTAACATCCCCACTAAGTATGTAAACTAAATACACAAAGTAAAATATACTGTTACCATTCAAAAAAATTTAAGCATTCCCTGCTTTTGCTTTAGAGATTCCTGAATGAGAAGACTTCGTGTATCATAAAATTGGATGTTTTTCTTCAAATCAAACTATTACAATAACATTGAGTATATACCATGTAATTTCAACCAAAATCCCTAGATTTTTTTCTGGGTAAGAGTGAGAAAATGGGAAAAATTATTTAGAAGTTTACCTGAATCAATAAATCAATAAGACAAAAAGTGATGAGAAGGACTTGCTTTATCATATATAAAACGTAGATTGAAAAGTAACTAAAACAATGTGGTATTGGCACAAGAGAGAGACAAATCAGTAAAACAGATGAAAGTCTACTGGGACAACTGGGTAACCATTTCAGGAAAAGTTTTTTTTGTTGTTAAATCCATTCATAAGGATGTGTGTGTAGAAAAAAGACTTAATTAAAAATAAAACATTAATGGTCTTTGGGTTATTACTGGGATTTTGTTTGGATTTTTCTAAGAAACTTACAGTTTTAGAGAAAATATAATTAGAAAGCGTAAGTCAAAATGGTGGTATTAAATTTAGACATCGTCAGACATCTTAGGAGATAGACTTAAATGTTAAGGGTTTACTGTTATTTTGTATTACTATATTTGTTATCTTGCCACCACATATAGAGAGAGATGAACAAAGAAATCTCTGTGGTATTTGTTAAATAAATGGATCACAGAGGATCAGAGAAACTCTCCAAAAAATAAGAATTAAGTTTAGTTTTATATTCTGAGTATTGAAATCAGTGATGGTCTTTTTATCATCTCTTAGTACTCAAAGATGTTACATGAATGTCTTAGTATTTGGAAGTGAACATGCCATCTGTTGAGCATTCTAGATGATGGACCAAGGAATTGCTATACTTACGTTTTCCTGACTGTCTTACTGTGGAATATTTTCAGATGAAGGATTCAGCTTTAACCCATTGAAAATAGAGGTCTTTATGCAGACTCTGCTACACTTGGCAGCCAAATCGTTCAGCCACTCCTTTAGTGCTCTTGCAAAGTAAGTGCAACAAGAACACACGCCCTTTCTTTAGGGTTTAGAACTTTGCTTGGTGAATACCAATATAGTAATTTTTACCTAAAATAGTTGAATATGAAGATCTTAATAATAGTATTATATAATTTGATGCAATGGGTTTTGGTTTGCAGTAGCTAAAATCCTTGTCCTATGGCTCTGTCAGTCTGTATGTTTACATATATACATGGAATATAAATTTTCTCATATAGACCTTTAGAGAAACCAGTGAAAAACTTGGGTCCATAGGACAGTCATATATACAGTCAAGAAGCTCCCACCCTGTCTAGGCATCTTCCTGAAAGAAGGTAAGCAGAAATGAGAGCCAACTACATTTTGGGGGAGCCACCCAAAAGTTGGCATCTGAAGAAAGAGAACATAGATATTCCTCCAGCCAAGTAGAGAAACTGGGCTCCCCAGCCCATCTCAACTTCCAGGTCTCCATGTTACTTACAGGGTTTCCACAGAAGGTATAGTCAGAATACATCACCCATGTTTAGAGACAGTTCCTTAGCCCTCACCTATTCGTAGATACATGTTAAATTGAAGTCGTGGGCTAAAAATAGTATATTTTAAGAGTCTTAAGATTTTGTGACAAATTCCATACAAACTATGAATTCCTAATCATACCTTTTATATTCTTAATGGTTAACATTTGGTTATTTTGCATTTATGTATTACACTATAAATTAAGTAACATTGAAAAGGCTTTGAAACGTTAAAATGCTTAACAAATAAGTTTATATATGCTGTTTTTTTCCCCCTACTATCAAAAGGTTTCATGAAGTCTTCAAAACCCTAGCTGAAAGTGATGAAGGAAAGTTACATGTCCTAAGAGTTATGTTTGAGGTCTGGAGAAACCATCCACAGGTAAAAACTATTTAATTAGAAGTGTTGAGGCTCTGATTGTATAAATATAAAAATAGGGCATTATTACCATTCTTTTAGTTTGCAGAACATTAAATTTGACTCTATTAGAATGGTTTTAACTTTAATTTTTTTTTAGTGCTGTGGAAGTAATGATGTTTGATTCATTCTTTAAAAGAGCAAGTATTATGATTTGGTTTGGGATTATAATATCTTAACACATTTTAAATACTTGTTTAAAAAGTCTGCCAGTTGGGTAGGAAGTCGTTATTTAGTCTACCCAATTTCCATAAACAAGCTCCAGATTTCTCAACCTCAGTATATTGTTTTTATACCATGTGTTATAAAGAAGCATTAAAGTAAATTTTAGAGTATGTTTAAGACTTATGATAACACTAGATTTTTAAATTTTAGGTTCAATGGAAATTGTATATTTTTGTATATATTATCTAAAATTTTCTTTTAAGTTGTTACCATTCAGAGGTTTTCTTTTTGCTCAGTCTTTACTGGCGTTATAGTATTCTTATAAGAAGTACCAGAGCCAAGCAGAGAGCAGAATAAATCTTTAAGACTTATTAGTCAAATTGATCATTCCAAAGCCACTGAAAATGAATTCACAAGCCTCCTATTTTACTTTGTAGCAGTGGGATTATGTGGCCTACGCATAAGTGTGGTTTACCCTAATCTTCTCTCTTTGTAGATGATTGCTGTACTAGTAGATAAGATGATTCGTACACAGATTGTCGACTGTGCTGCAGTAGCAAATTGGATCTTCTCTTCAGAACTATCTCGTGACTTTACTAGGTAATACGGATTATTTTACAAAGTTTGTATTCTCTCACAATTGTTTTTCGTGTGCTTTCTTATACATGAGCTTCAGATTTTGGTCTAAACCAGGTTGATATTACAATACTGATGGTCCAGTCTGGTAGGATTAGACTTGACAGAGATACTGGGACGATGGAAATAGACAGCCAGTCAGGTCACAGCGTCTCTTAGGGGCACACATGTAAGTTGAATCAGGACTCAACCAGTTAAGTAAAAATGCTGATAAGGATCTAGACTCTTAGGAGAGAAGGTCAGGTTGTATGTCACGGTCTCAGCCAATGGGACATGGGGAAGAGTGCCAGCTCCATTTGGGGACCTGAATGCACACTAGGAACTAGGAGAAACCAGTCACAGTAGATTTCATATACATCCTTGGAAACATTGAGGAAAGCCTGATGGGCACCTAGATGCCTCTGGGGAAGGGATGTCTCACCTTAGTCTTAAAAATCCTAGACTTAATGCAGAAGATTACTCTAGACCCTTTCCCCCCTAAAGGAAAGAGACTTCTTTAAGCATGGTTCTTATCCATGAAGTTAAGTCCCCAGTCTTTATAACTGATCAGGACCAGAATGGTAGGAGTTGACACAAAACAGGAAACAAAAGAAAAATACTTGCAAAGGCTTAAAAATCCATTACAACCTTTGTCCTCCTCATTGTATCTGGCAGAGGACCCTGGTCTGAATAAACTGAGTTCTTAGGGTAAAAGGGTCAGTCTAAGATTATCATACCAGCTAAATTGGCTTTCACAAATGAAAGCAAAATAAAGTCTCAGATTTGCAAACTCAGAAAACTGACCACCCAAATATGCATTAGCCATTGTCCTGGATGATTTACATTTGCAACTCATTTACTCCTTACACTACCACCGTAGATGGGGTTACATTATCGTCTATATTTTACAAAATAGAAAAATGTTGCAGAGTACTTAAGTAGCTTGGCCAGAGTCACACGACTAAGTGCAGAGCCAGAGCTGAAACACAGGCATTCTTGATTGGGTACGTTGCTCCAGAGTTGCTGTTCTGTTCTTTAACACCAAGCTCAACTGTTTCTAACTGCAAAGCCTTCTCAGACCACCCCTTGCAGAGTTACTCTCCTCTTTTATTCTGTCCGCTAACATTTTCGACGTTGAGTTTTATAAACAGATTGTTTTACTATCTTCCACTTAAACTATCATCCAGGTCAAAATTTGTAGAAGGAAGTTCTCTGCTTTCTTGGGGTTAGGAGACCTACTTTATAGACAGAAAGTAGTTATCACTTTTAAAAAATATTTATGCAACAAACATTGTAAAGCACTGATAATTTAGCAATTTGCTGTTAAGGTAGCTGATATTTAAATACTTATCTCATTCCTAAAAATCTGGCAGTTGATAGCTTTTATCAACTAATGGGTTTCTTAAATGTTCCAAGAATATTGGCCGTGTGTATACTAAATAGTGTTAAGAATGTAAGATGAGCCTCAGATTAGGTTTCCATTTCAAGAAAATTCCAATGCTTAGTGTTTAAATTTAGAAAACATGTACTTTTGTTGTTAATGATGTTTTTTTATAGTTTGTCATTTTATTTCAATGAGTATGTATGTGCACGTACCTTCAATGTGTACCTAGTAGGGAATGGAAATAAAAATGACAAGACCCAGGACTGCCTTCAGGAAGCTCACCTGAATCTAACAGGTAGTGTTGCTGGAGATGTAATACTAGTTCTGCCTAAAGAGTGGAAGGCTACATCAGACGTTAAGAATGAGTAGGTTATAAAAGAAAACAAAAAAGATAGAAATTAAAAAAATGAGTAGATTATAAAAGTTGAGAGGTCTTCTTTTCTATATGTGTAGTTTAGCATACAGTAGTAACCAGATGCCGTTTTTCTTTAAGATTGTTTGTTTGGGAAATGTTGCATTCCACAATTCGAAAAATGAACAAACATGTTCTGAAGATCCAGAAAGAGCTGGAAGAAGCTAAAGAGAAACTCGCAAGGCAACACAAACGGGTAAGTCTTGTGTCAATTCATAGAAGAATGTTCATTACTGTCATGGGAGCCTATTTCTTCTGAGGCCAAATTATGCAGAGCTATTTGTAGAAGTAGAGGAAGAGGAAGGACTTGTTTAGGAAACCACAAACCTTACTTTCCATAGTTCACCAGCTTCATGTTTGCCATTCCCAAAAGGGAAGGAGGGCAGGGCTGAAGAGGGAGAAGACTGTTGATGTTTACCGCTTCACCAGTACTGCGAGGAGGAATGAGCACTCGTTCCCAGGTTTACAAAGTACTTCTATTAAGTTTAGTACTTTGCCACTTTGGGGAGAAGCAGTGAGCTGCGATAAGTATTCTGTGATAAGTATAACAGTACTGGTATTCTTCATGATGGTGTTTTCCAGTATACATATTTACCAGAGTAGAAGGTGAAAACAAATTTAATGAAGCTAAAGATGTTCAAGTGCTTCTATAATCTCCATACACACATACATATATATGTAAATATACATGTATATAAACACACAGAACTATAATACTGTAAGGTAAATGGTGTCACCCCCATTTTAACATGTATAATTTGAGGCTCAGAGAAGTTAAATAACTTTCAAAGTTACGTGGCTAATAAGTGACAGAGCTAGGATTTGACCCAGGTCTGTCAAACTCCAGAAACTTTCCCTCATGCCCTAACGTTCTCTAGGTATGTGGTGTCATATGGTAACTGCTAGCCACATGTAACCTTAATTAAAATTAAATAGAATTTAAAATTCAGTTCCTTAGCCACACTAACCACATTTCTAGTGCTCAGTAGTCATGTGTGACTAGTGGCTATTGTGATAGGCAATATAGATTTATGTAACATTTCCCTCATTGTAGAAGGTCTGTTGGGCAGTGGTACTCTAGAACTTTGCCTTGGTGTGATATTGGGAAAAGACATATATACTCAGTAGCCTAGAACATAATAAGGCAGACCTCGTAACAGTGATGTATTGGATATTAAAGGAGAATTCTGTAAAAAGAGTTGGGGATTCTGATAATTTTGCTTGGAGAGTGGAAGAAGCTCATAGGTGGGGCCTTACCAGTAGAGTGTTATCTGGAAAGAAATAGGCTTTCTAGGTTTGGTGATGCCTACCTTCTTGCTAAAAGGACCTTAATATAGAACACAGCTGGAGTCAGGTTCTGGCTCTGCCACTTGCCGGCTGTGTGACACTGGGCAAGTCACATAACTTTTCAGCCTGTTCCCTTATTTGTAATCATGCCTTGATTTCCTTTCACCTTTAAAAAAATAAAAACCACTTAAACGAATGCTCTGAGTTCTTCAGGGTGAGCTGCGGGTGTTAACAGGTATATTGAGCCCACCATTGCCAGCAGTCTTAACCCGCTGTAAATTATTACATGTCAGTTCTAAATTATTACAAAGATGAGCAGCCTATGGCTCCTGGGCTACCTAAGAACATGCCCAGTTTTTTTGTATGGTCCCATTGGGAATGAAGGATTAGCAAGCTGTCTATTGTTACTGCTGAAATGGTCAGTTATTAATGACTGGAGAGCACTGTTGATTTTTTCACTGGTCATCTACTTTGTTGAATACAATAGTGGAGTTAGAAGAATATACTATCTGTTCTCATTATCTGCAGGTTCTATTTTTACAAACTCACCTACTTAAATTTATTGGTAATCCCCAAATCAGTACTCATGATGCTTTCCTGGTCATTTGCAGACATATGCAGAGCAGTGAAAAGTTTGAGTTGCCCAGTGGGCTTGTTCCCAGCTGAGGTTGAACAAGGCAATGCTTTGCCTTCTTATTTCAGTTCTATGTGGTGTATTTAGTGCCATATTTTTCATGCTTCTGCTTTTTGTTTTCACATTGTTTGCTGGGCTTTTTGTTGTTGATTTCACTATTTTAAAAAGCCCCCAAGCACAGGACTGAAGAGCTGTCTAGCATTCCTAGGCACAAGGCCATGATGTGCCTGACAGGAAAAATACATGTGTTAGATAAGCTTGTCCAGGCATGAGTTCTAGTGTTGTTGGTCCTGAGTTCAAGTGTTCATGAATCAACAATATACACCCAGAAAAAGGAAGAGGAAATTCATCAATCTGTAGGTGAGGCTGATCTATCAGGTATTAAAGTAACATCTGTAGTGTGTGATAAAGCTATGGAAAAGATGGAAAAGTAGCTAAATTTATGGATTTGAGATGACCAATTTTTTAAAAAAGTATAGCAGACAGCATTCTTATGAGGCTGAAAGCCAAAGAAATTTACAGTCACATTACTGAGGGTCAGGGAAATGTTCAATCCTTCTCAGCTAGTATTTTAGTATAAAGAAATACTGTGTATAATTATTTATAAGACATATATATTAAATATCTTTAAATAGAAACACAAAACAAGATTATATATTGATCAGTTTATGAAAATGTGACAGGAGGCTTCCTCAAGAACCTAACCCTCTATTTCTAGCAATGGCTAGAAAATATAACAATGATGAATAATAAGAGTCAACAATATTTTCCAGTGCTCAAAGCTGTTTTCATTTTAAATGAAAGAAAAAATGTGATATACATTTCTTCCCTGAAACCACTTCTGCTTTCTAACAAACATGTCCACTGCCATTATCTAAGACAAGT